GTGTACCTGTTTGATTGAACAGCTCTACTTCAGACATGTACCTGTTTGATTGAACAGCTCTACTTTAGACGTGTACCTGTTTGGTTGAACTGCTCTACTTTAGATGTGTACCTGTTTGATTGAGCAGTTCTACTTCAGACATGTACCTGTTTGATTGAACAGCTCTACTTTAGACGTGTACCTGTTTGATTGAACAGCTCTACTTCAGACGTGTACCTGTTTGATTGAGCAGCTCTACTTTAGATGTGTACCTGTTTGATTGAACATCTCTACTTCAGACGTGTACCTGTTTGATTGAGCAGCTCTACTTTAGATGTGTACCTGTTTGATTGAACATCTCTACTTCAGACGTGTACCTGTTTGATAGAGCAGCTCTACTTCAGACGTGTACCTGTTTGGTTGAGCAGCTCCTTGAAGAACTTCTGGTTATAGATGCGGGCCACACCACTGATCTCAGGTACCTGCGCCTCAGCAGCCGTGTTCCCGTTCAGGAAGTTGGCGGTGATGCCGATGGCCAGTTTTCCTCTCAGCTCCTTGTGCTTAAAACCTGAGGGTTTGGAAAAGAAGACCATAAACCCCATTAAAGAGAGTTTATTAATTTAAAACCATCAGGCTGTAACAAACAGGTTGGTGGTGGGGAGCACAGGAGCAGGAAAGTTCATCTCACCATCAGGGACGAATCTGCCTCCCCCAGCAGAAATGAAGACGTCAAACTGGAAGGACGCAGCAGGATGAGACTGAGGCTGCAGTTTGGCCATCCAACCTTTCAGAAAGAAGCACTGAATGATGTGATGTTGTTTATTTATCAGCTACTTCTAGCTGATAAATAAACAACAAGCAGCCTGTAAGAGAATTAAAGTGGTACCAGTTTCACCAGTGGGCTCAATCAAAGCCTGGAACTCCACTTCAGTGTGCACATCCACCCCCAGCAGGAGACACACCTTCAGCAGGATTAACTGCAGCTGACGAATGCCTGAAACCACATTTTAATGGAACTCTGTGTGAAACAGTAACAAGATTCAGTTTGAATATTTATTCATAGATACTGTTGAATAAAGAAAACTCAGGGAGTGTTAAAGCATTTTGGGGGGTAAAACCTACAACTATAGGAAATCTTCTGCTTCATTTTCTTGATAATGAAAATATATGAATTATTAAAAATATTAATTGGCATCAATCAGCTGTTTCTGCCACAGTGTGTTAGTGTCTTTAAAGGTAGGATTGGGCAATATCTGCTAAAAAGTTACTAATGATTAATTGAGGCATTTATCCTTAATGATTATTATGAAAAATAAAATATGACACTGACCTGCACTGAGTTTACTTGAAATCAGTTTAAAACAGTTCTAAAACTAGATTTACAAATCAAACGGCCCATGTTATCTCCTTCCAGTTTGCTGCTCGTTAGGGACAGAGCTTTGTGGAGTCTCAGCTGAGAACAGTTAGCACCAATCACTGAAGGAGACTTTGTTGTTTTCTGTCTTTCACTCTGCTTTATGGGCTTTCAAGTCATTGACCACGTTTGTTGTGTTAGCTTTAGCTCTGCATATGTTAGCTCCATGTTAGCATTAGCTCTGCAATAGCTCCATGCTAGATTTAGTTCTGCATATGTGTTAGCTCCATGTTAGCATTAGCTGTGTATTAGCTCCATGTTAGCATTAGTGCATGTTAGTGTTAGTGCTGCGTTAGCGCAATGTTCGAATTAGCTATGTGTTACCYCAATGTTAGCTTTAGCTCTGCGAATGTGTTAGTTCCACGTTAGCATTAGCTCTGCAATAGCACCATGATAGCAGTAGCTCTACATTAGCGTTAGCACCATGATAGCAGTAGCTCTACATTAGCGTTAGCACCATGATAGCAGTAGCTTTACATTAGCGTTAGCACCATGATAGCAGTAGCTCTACATTAGCATTAGCTCCATGATAGCAGCAGCTCTACATTAGCATTAGCTCCATGATAGCAGCAGCTCTACATTAGCATTAGCTCCATGATAGCAGCAGCTCTACATTAGCATTAGCTCCATGATAGCAGCAGCTCTACTGTACATTAGCATTAGCT